GCTCAGTTCACAGGAGATCAGGGACGAGGATGAGGAGTTCCAATTTTTCATTGAAGTGCATGTTGTTATTTTATTCTTGTGTTGTGGCTAAAATGATCTTTCTGCAAAGTTTCTCAATTCTTCTTTCATCTCGACTAATTCACTCTTGTGGTACTGTCTTCTATCAGCCTATTTAAATTACGTTTTAACATTAACAATAATAATGGATACCAAAATAATATTCAATCTTCAGGCCAGGTTTTAAAGTGCTTGCTGCTGATTTATTCAGTGTTAATGCAAAACATGACACTGCGTGTCATATACATACACCTGCACAAATGCCTATATCTATATAGCCATTGCTTTATGTAGACAAAGCTTCAGCAAGGAGGTGTGTGAGAACTCAGGGCAGCCATGCTTCCCTGCATGGAGCAAGAAGAGGGCTGTGTGGGTTTAGTTCTCATCGAGGAATAAGGAAGTGATATCTGGTACCATCATCTGCTAGTTGCCCTGGCTGGTGGTCCTGGTGAAGCTGAGTGTGTGGGTGCACCACACCTCAACTCAGGGTCCCCGGGATCCTCACACCCTCATGGTTCTGGGTGTTTGAGATGTGAGCACTCCTGCCTCAGCCTTATCTGCTTTGAGAAACTTGCATGCATTCCAATTGTCAACCCATCCCCCCTATGCCCACTAATCACATCCCTGGAGCCACATCCATACATTTCTCGAACACCTCCAAGGACGGTGACACAACCACCTCCCCAGGGCAATGCCTCACCACCCTTTCTGAGAAGAAATGTTTCCAAATATCCAACCTGAACACAACAATATCCAACCCTGGCACAGTTTAAGACCATTCCCTCTCATCCTATTGTTGATACATGTGAGCATACACTGACCTCCACCTCCCCACAGCCTCCTTTCAGGCTGCTGTAGAGAGCAGTAAAGTCACTCCTGAGCCTTCTCTTCACCAGACTGAACAATCCCAATTCCCTCAGCTACTCCCCGTAAGACTTGTGCTCCAGACCCGTCACAGCTCTGGAAGGGCAGTTGCTGCTGTGGACTTGGGCTCTGGGGGCAGGTGAGGAATATTACCAGGGCCACAGGTTTACCAGCTCCTTTCCCTTCCAGCCTTCTCCTAGATCATCCATGGCACCAAAGGACACGGTACTGTTCTTCCTAGAGCTCTTTGTTACACTTCATGTGAAGTTGCCACCGTTTTCCACAGCCACCAGCAAACTGAGTGAAAATCACACAGCTCAGTGATTTGTGAGTGTGGTGGGTGGACAAGGGCTCCAAAGAGGAACGCGTGGAGGGCTGCAGGGCATGGGCTGCCCGCCCAGCTGGCAGAAATGCTGTGGGGAGGTCGTGGCTGCAGCGTGCCATGAGATCTGATGTTGCAAAAGGGCTGTGCAGGAAGCAGCTGGGTGGCATCGCGGTGTTCCTTTGTTACACCCTTCCCAGAGGCCTGGCCCAAGCCTAGGGAGATCAACAGGGATTTTTGGAGTGGCAGCGAGGAGCTTTGACTCAAGCCCTGAAACTTCTGCAAGCCTCAGAAGACATTAGCGTGACTTTCACGGCACCGAGCAGCAGGGGGAGGCTGCGGCAGAAGTTCTGGTGGGGACGGGCCTACAGTAGGGGCAGGAGGGGCGGGGTGGGGACGGGGTGTAGGGAGCGGCCCTGCTGTCCCTGCTCCTGCTGGCACGGACGAGGCAGGCGCTGGCTGCGGTTCTGTGAGGGTTCGGCAGCTGAGTCAGGGCCTTGCCCGGGCCTCTCCCTGCCCACTCCTCCCACAGACCCACCTGCCGTGTGCTGTGTCAGAACTTGGGCGACCCACCCGAGGCCTCACGCTGAGATGGTGGCTGCACTCCACAGCCATCATCGGGTGTGTGGGGTTCCTGCGGGTTTAGTGGGTCAGCCTCTGCTCCTAGGTAACAGTGACAGGACAAGAGGGAATGGCCTTAAGTTGTACCGGGGGGTTTCAGGTTGGATATTAGGAAAAATTTCTTCTCAGAAGCAGTGTTGAGGCAGTGGAACAGGCTGCCCAGGGAGGTGGTGCAGTCACCAATTGATGGGCATCATGGTGAGATGGACTGATGATTGAACTGCATAATCTTGGCTTTTTCCAACCTTAATGATTCCATGATTCTGCCGAGATATGCATTGGAGGGGTGCTTCTCCTAGGCAGGCAATTGGGCAGTTTCCTTGTTACACCACAGCCACAGCAAGAAGCAAGGGGAAGAGCCAGCAGGGCAAGGAGTGTTCCTTTATGAAGAAGATAAATAGATTTATTTCAGAAGTACAGCAATAAAGCCTTTGTTTAGTGTAGGAAATAGAGGTAACTGTGGCATGTAGAAAATCAAAGATGCAAGTGAGGTCCACCTCAACTTGGTGGCACGCTTCCCAGCCCACTGCAGCAGGGTGGTGGGGGGTGATGCAGTATGAGCAGTTGACATGATGTGTGTCTACAGGGTCCCTGCTTGTCAGTGGGGCTGGGATGCCTGTGCTCACTCTGATCTGGTGTGGATCCACAGGTTGGCATTAGGTCAGGGTAGTAATTTGAAAAATGAAATGCAATCTCAGAGCATCCCACCACTGGTCTGCTTTGTGTCTTTGGCATCCAAGGTTGCTGGGATCAGGTCAGCAGACAAAACTGAGGCTGCAGGAGGCTGGGCTCAGAAGAAAGAGATGGAGGAGGATATGCAGCGGGTTTGGAGCCAATGTCTGTTTTGTGTAATGGGGGTGGAACATGTCAGACACAGAGCTGGTCAGGGCTCTTCCTTATCTGATAGGAAAGCAAGAGGGGGGATTTAAGGAGGGCTTCTTAAGAGGTTGTGAATAATCATTTGGCACCTGGGCCAATTTAAGCAATCTTTGCCCCAGGCATAACAAAGGGGAAAATCGCAGGGTGGGGATGTGCAGCCAGAGATGGGCAGGAACAATTAAGCCAGTTACTAGTAAAGAAACTCGCTGAATTTATGCCAGCACAGCATAAATTTCTGGTGACTGGCAGGGCAGAGACTTTGGAGACCCTGGCTGTGAGTGATGATGTGTGAGCAACAGCAGGCACAGTGGAGGGCTGTGAGCTGATGTGCTTTAGGGCCAGGAGCAGCCTCAGCCAGCTTGCAAGGATGTGGGGCTGGAAAGGCAACTAAGAGGGCACTGAAAATTTCAGGGACTTTTACTTGGCACTTACAAAAGTCAGATGACGTTTCAGATAAAGGATTGCATGATCAAGGATGCACAGTAGTGTGATGAGAAACATCACAGCCCAACACAACTCAGTCACAACTGATGCACTCTGCTGAGGCAAGAAATCTGTACAAGTGCAGCCTTGGATAAGCTCTGGCTCCCATCCATGGTGCAGGGACCAGCACATTTGTTTCCAGCTCACCCAGGTGCCAGGGCACTCCAGCAATGGAGAAGGGCTGTTTGTGCTGACACTGGATCAGGCACTCCTCATGTGAAACAGCCAACCAACCCAAACCCATTTACAGCACAGCTGATGCACAAAGCAGCACGTATGCTCATTTTCTTCATTTAGGCTTTGCCCATTTATCCAGGCTTAAACTTGCAACGGTTATGGAGCTGGTACTCTTGAAAAATTCAACTACTAGAACAAAAACTACTTTTCAAAATTTTTGTAAATGGACAATGAAAATACCATATACAGAGTTACGTCCAGTTTGGGGTTTAATAGGCATGCCCTTTGTAAGAAACCAAGCAAAAACACCCACCCTCCAACTGAGGAGAACACAGTTGCCTTGAGATATTTTTTAGGTTTTGCTGACGTCCAGCATAGGTCTATTTAATTTGATCACAACATGATGAGATGAGGCATGATCATGCATAATCATTAACCAATCTCCATTCCTATTCCCTATATGGTCTGTGATTCACAGCATGCCCTGGATGAAAGTCCACAGCTAGGGCTGCCCTGTGCAATACAACTCTGGACCAAATGTAGCCTCTTTGCACCCTGAGCCCAGCATAGCATGAAGCCCGAACTCTGTCTTTGTTCTTTAACAGAACGATGGGGAGAATTTGCTGAGCAGGGCAAACCTTGAACTTGCCCATTGTAAAGAAACAGAGCCATTGAAGTAAAGACGTTTAGACCATTGTCACAGCCATACATGGAACCCGTGCAGCTTGGAGAAACCACAAGGCTTTCAGCAACTGTACAACCATGCAGACAAAGTTTCATACCTGCTTTTTCACCTTCTAGCTTGCTGGCAAAAATATCCAGAAGACTGTCAATAGCTTTTCATAACAATGATTGGAAAAGAAACTACTGTGAAGGCAAGGAAGTTGAGGAGTGCGCCAGAAGAAGAGAGTGGCAACCAAAATCCATTCTCTGAGGACAGAGTTGACTCCAGCTATTTTCTCTCTGTTGCTTGGCCCTGCACCCTATTAAGATGTAGGGGCCTATTAGGTTCTACATAAAGCAAGAACAAGCCAGAAGCCATTTATAGTGTGGACACATATACACAAAGTAAAAGTCTGATGTGACAGAAGGAAAACTTAAAACTGAAGATGGTTTATGCATTAAGTGCAGTCTCTGCTCCTAGTGACACATGTAGCAGCTCTTTAGAAAAGTAGCTCTGCAGCACAAAAGCAGTGAGGTTAATTCACTTGCACTAGTATAAAAAAAAAGAACAACTCTGAGGACAGTGCACTCATGACATACTCTGGTGAAAAGTGAGATGCAAAACAGGAGAAGCACAGATAAAACAGCATAATTAGGGTCCTCTGCTATACCCACCTCTTTGACATTTCAGGATTCTTCACTTTCAGCAGCACACCTATCCCAAAACTCCATCCTCCTGAGCAGACAGGTTATGTGCTTACCTCAATTATGGGGGAATAACAGAATTAGGACATCAGTGCTCTGGGTGGGAACGAGCAATATACAAACCACGCACACTTCAGATGCAGAGTCCTTGCTCAAAAGCAGCCTTTCATAAGCATTTGTCTGGCTTAAGCTCTCACTAGCATTCACATATAGACTCCCACTTCACTGCCAAAGTTTAAAGTGTTTGCCTTTTATTCAGAAGACTTTCTCCATTTCCAGTGTTTAAGATACTTTCCCATGTCTTCCAGAACAAAGAGCCCCTAGTTTCATAACAGCACCAGTCTACCACAAAAGAAAAAAAAAATAGCTAACAAAAGCAAAAGGTTCAATGATGTGATATAGCATAAGGAAACAAATACAGCAAATGCATTAGAGAAATAAACATGTGCTAAGTGGAGTATTTACATAAAATTATGTATGTTCCTATAAAACTGGCAGCATGCAATGAAAAGATTAACAGGAATACTTATACCAGGTCTGCTAGTTGTCAAAAGCAGGTCTACTTGGACTGCACCTGTATCGCCATGCTGCTTTTAGGCACAGCACTGCCCTCAGAAGCTAGCTACCCCAGTTCTCCACACTACCTGTGGTGGGGATTTCATACAGCCCCACAGCCAGCAGTGCAGATGCAGGTGCCTCAAGTTACTCATCCAGACTCAAGCAGTGTTTGCAAAGCTGTAAAGATGTGGCCTACTGCTATTTCCTCTCCATGAATATGGTAGCGCAGGGTTCATCTGCAATTACCTGCTTAAACAAAGCACAGTCTGTTGCTTACTGTAACACCTTAAGTAACATGGAATCTTAGATTTTACAAAAATACTTTAATTTTCTGTTCACAATCAAAAACTATCTTTATTACAAAACAGTTTGAAACATTAGCACATCTAGCTTGGAAAGACTTTTGTTCTTATTGCTGTTGCATAGCGTTTTCAAGGAACCACACAAAGGCACTAGTGCATTTGTCAGAGCATCCTTGTAAGGATATCTGTAGGAAAATACAATTTCCTATTTAATCCTCACAACTTTCAAATGTTTAAGCTGCCTTTTTTTTTTTTTCCCTCCTCAACAGGTGCATAGCTGACACCTGTCACTACACATCTAAATCTTCCCCAACAGAAGCTGTTTAACAAATTTTATTTGCAGCCATTAGACAAATAACATTCACCCTTTTCAGAGTGAATACCAGCACTGACACCACCTTAGCTACTTGTGAATCCTATAACTGTGTTCTGACAGCTATCAGATATTAACTCATTCATTTCATTTTGTTTGGTTTCTTCTTTATTCTCATGGTTGGGGTGGTGTTTCTGATTTCCAGCTTTTCTAGACCTTCTGAGAAAAAATTTTGTCAGTAAATAACATAATTCAGCCACATTTAAAAGAATGCAAATGCTGGACACAGCAATCATGAAAATAGTGAACACTGTCTTTTCAGTAGGTCGAGAAACAAAGCAGTCTACTGTGTTGGGGCAGGGCCAAGCACTACACTTCATTAAGCGAGGCATCCGGAACCCATCATACATGAAATAGAATGCATACATGAAGACTGCTTCAAAGACCAATCTGAAGAAGATGCTGCAAGTGTACGTCCACCACAGGGTGCCCTCAATGCGAAACTTCTGGGTTCTGATCTCTTCAATGTCCTTATACTCGCATTTCTGGTCTCCCTTTCTGAACTGCCTTTTCTTCTCGTGCCTCCTGTAAGCCACATGCATGGCCACCAGCAGCGCAGGGGTAGAAACGAAGATCAGCTGCAGGGCCCAGAGTCTGATGTGAGAGATGGGGAAAAAGTGATCATAGCAAACATTCTTGCAACCAGGTTGCAAAGTGTTGCAGATAAAGTCATCTTGTTCATCCCCCCAGACTCTCTCTGCAGCCACAACCAGGATCATGATACGGAAGATGAACAGGACTGTGAGCCATATCTTGCCAATGCTGGTGGAGTGTTTATTTACACCTCCTAAGATGGTCTGCAGAGCTCCCCAATCCATTGTCTTGCTTTAAAGATATGACCTAAGACGAGATAAAAAGAAAAAGGTTCATCAGGGTGGGAAAAAAAAATACTATTAAGCATACAGTATAAAATAAAAGCAACATTGTAAATATAATTCATAGGCTGTGGTAACGTCTGGTTGACACGGTCTTTCTGGCAAGCAGTCAAAGTGGCACTGTAACCAAATATCAGCAGGTGACATTTTGTTGCTTGATAACGTGAAGGGAATCTGTCTGACTGCTAGGCATATTTGGCAACTGAAAACTTCTATCCACATCGGTAAGAAGAAGTAGACAAGGGAAATTGGTAAAAAAATGACCTTATTTTAAAGCTACAATTTCTAGAAGCTTTGCTAATAGGAGCAAAGAACAGAAGATGATATCAACAGTCAAAAGCAAAGTACGTGTTATGGTGAAACGTAACCAGAATGAGAGATTCCTCAGAGCCTCTGGAATTCTCAAGGTGAACAGAAAGAAGCAGGTGGTGGGATAGAAGCTCTATTGTAAAATTACAGAAAATCAAAGAAACTGAAAAACAAAACCAGCATGGTAACTTAGTTACTTCATTTGAGAAGAAAATAGCTAAACTTAGGAAGCTGAGACAAGTTTGCACATCCTTGGCTTCAGGGCATAAACAACATTTTCAAAAGTACATTATTCCAGCAATAAAGACAGACCTCAAGGAGCTGCTGTGGAAGCTCTGTGCCTTACATGAGGAGGCCTGCACTGCCTGCCTTAGGAAGTTTTAAGGATGTGGCTGTACAGCTCTCTTGTTGCAGAAAAGAAAGCCAAAATTTCATGAGGGGATAGGTTGTGACAAGGTTTCATCTCTATTTTCTTATCTTGTTTAAAATCAGCACGATGAAGTTTATCTAAAATTGTGTTCCTCTCCACTAACTACAAAAGACAGTGTAGGGTACTGAGGCACAGGACATATTCCCATGCCCACCCAGATGACCTTCCCTTGTAACACAAGTACATTACTCCTCAAACAGGAGAGAAGTTTCAGAAGCTGGGAGAAAGCCAAAGTCCACAGACAGGCCAGCAGAAGCTCAGAGACTCTGCAACAGAAAGAGCATTTCCAGTAGTTGGAATTCAAAGTATAATGACTGTAAAGCTAAAATCCTTTGATTTGTTATCTGCCCCATACCTCTACAGGAACACTGCAACTGTTTGTGGAACCTGAAGAAATCCACACAACACGCATTTGCATCTGGCATAAAGAAGCATCTCACACCCCTTCTCCCTTCCAATGAATTTACTGAGAGGTAATTTGCATGTTACTCTGAAATTAAGAAAACATTTCTTGTGCTTCTGAGGCAGAAGTGCTCCTCAACCTCTTTGCTCTGGAATTTCTCATCAAGAGGTTGATTTCTCAAGTTTGTGAATGTTATCATCTCTCAGAGATCATCTTACTTTGGCAGTTGCGGCACAGGGCACTAATGAACAAAAAACACTTCTCCAGGGGTTCTAGAGAACAGCTCTGTTGCTGCTGGCAAAGCCCACTGCATCTATTGTGATGTAATTCAATTTTTGTCAACTCTGAGATACTGCAGAGATATACCTTCCTTATCTTCGTTGTGCAGTGTGACCCAACTGCTGCACCACACTTCCATTTTGAGCACTGTCAAAACCTCCCTGCTTTACAATGGTTACATATATTCATGAATCACATACAACAGTACAAAGCATCAAAGAACACGACAGCTCTGGCAAAATGAAGAAGTCTGATCATGATGTGAACAAAGGGTTTTTTCTTTCCTGGCTTATTGGAAGGTTCTGGTTGCCGAAAACATGTTTTACCAGGTCATCTTGGATGACTGTGTGGGGTTACTTCAGGAGCAGAAAGAGTGGGGTGGAAGAAGGGCAAGATTTCCTTGAGACTGTAAGAAACCTTTCCCGATTCTGACTCTCCTGTGGGATGCAGTGTGAGATATTACCTCTGCATCTGTCTGAAAAGAGTCCTGGTTGCAGAGCTGCCTTCCTATCATGTTTTGGGTTTTTTTCCTCCCAAACATAAACTGTATATTTCATCAGCATATGGATATAGAGGAAGTCTCTGCAGGTTAGCACATGAGAGCACGGGAAGGACTCTGAACACCAGAGATACTTACAAAACAGATTTTAAAATATTTGACTCTACCCCTCTTTTTGCTGTCTTATTTTAAATTGCTCAAATCAGGTGGTTTTTTTTTTTTTTTTTTTTTTTTTTTTTTTTTTTAAACCAGATCATCATATAATCAAACTGAAGAACTGAAGCAGAGGAAAAGTTACAGCTTTACGACTGATATTCATGTTCTCTTACTAATGTGCACGTTGCTACTATGGAACTAATGATATGACTGACATACCTCAGCACTGATTAGAAATACCTTCATGCACCACAGTTCTAAGTCCTATGGAAGACAGTTACCACATGAACTGCAGCATTACGCCTCATCTACCCACTCTTTAAATCTAACAACTTGGGTTTCTTCTGTCATTGTTCCCTCTTTAATCAGCCATCTCCATAAATACGAGAAGATGAGAAGAAGGAACTGCATATTCCCTTCTCATGAGCCCCATTTCTTATACTTTCTTGCCTCACTGTAAACCAGTGCTGCTGCCTTTCTTTTGCTACAGCTTCCCAAGAACTTGTTTCCATGTACAATTGTACTTCTTGTCTCCCTGTGAAGAACGAGATACCAAAATACAAGTGCCTCAGGGTGTACTTAAAGGATACCCTGTCTTTAGTGGCAGAGCTGGATACAGACACTTGCCCATCACTGCCTGGTCCCAATGCAGTTCTCCATCCACTGCAGCACTGTGAGGGTACATTATAACCCAGAAGCCAACTGGTTTGTTTAGACGTTATTCCCAGTACTGGTACATTGTTGTTTTTTTTCTTTTTCCAACCTGACCCATTTCCATATTCTGCTTTAGCACACAGACTCTACAAACCATTTGGAAAGAGTGTCATTTTAAAACAAACTGCACGTTGCAAAGCATCAGAATGAGCAGCTAGTGGAAAAGAGGGTGTTGCCCTTAGCAGGGATGCTTCTTCAAGATATTGTGAAACTACACCATTCACCTGACTGTTCCATCTCCACTGAGAGCATATCATGTTTCAACCCTAACAAAACTACGTCTGTACCTGGATGCAGGCAGAAAAAGCCACTGCACTTCAGAGAGACAGCTGTTCCTAATCTGACCTGATGGGCAAGTAAAACAGGACACCCTCCCAGGGCCATCTCCACTCCTTCCCAAAGCCCTTTGACGTTCATATCCACCCAAACATTCCCCTCTTCACTACTCCCACCCACCTTCCAACTCCTCCAGCAATCTCTCCCACTCCACCTGCTACCATCCCATTCTTCCTGCTGCTTGCTGAGCTAGTCACCAACCTTTGCCCCTCCTTGTTCTACCCTCATGGCCTGACTTGCTTTTATGCTAGCAGAAAGGCATGTGACTTCTGAGGAGTTCAGGAGACTGATATAAGCACTGATCAGATACTGCACTCAGTGAAGTTCTTGAAGAGCAGAACAGCTGAGACTGCAAGGCCATATTTAAGCAGCTGAAACCCTACCCAGATACTCTGGACCTGGTTTTCCCTGACTTTTAATATTAGATACTCTAAACTGTGTTACTGAGAGATAAAGGCAATTCATAAACCACTGAAGCGCCCACCTTTCATTCAATAAATAGACAGTGACCAAAGCAGAATGTAAGTTAACTGAGTATGGCCCTTCACAGACCACTCCATCCAGACATCAGGTCAGGGCTATCTGCAGTGATGTGAAGTCTCATTCACTCCTAGTTTACTGTGTACTGATGTGATGTCTCATTTATTCCTAGTTTCCTAAAAAAAGGTAGGGTGCTGATCCCCACTGCAGGTTATCTTTCTTTCAAATGCTTGCTTTCCAGACCTCCTTACTAGTAAGTAAAATATTAACTGTCTGGCTGAGCAATGGAAACGAAAGCAGGAAAAGGACTTCCCTTTGATGGCTGCTAACTCTTACAGATAATTGTGTGAGCCAATCCACTTAAATGCACACAGAAATTACAGTGTGTAGACAGTATTTGCTCATCTCAGAAGTAAAGCACTGGATAGGAATAAGTTAAGACATGAAAAGCCAGGTGAAATTGGGACAAAAGAAAAAAAGTACAGTGGGAATATGGGCTGAAGATAAAGGAGGAAGATGAGAAGAACAGAAGATAAGGTAGTAAACTCGAGTAGATGAAGCATTTAGAGTGCATTTTGAAATGAGACTGTGGTAACCAAACAAATTCATGAATCTGTTCTTCTACTGGCTGAACCTTCTGTTCCTCCATCTGAGAAATCAGAGGAGCAGGACAGCACAGCTATTACAGCAGGAGATAAAAATGATCGTAAGATGTCACTACTCTCACCTAAAGAGCTGGCAGTGCAGGAAATGGTTCTACATGACCACACAACACATGGAGAGGCACACAGTTCTTCCCCCAGTGGGCTCAGGCACCATTAGAAGGCCAGACAGCAGGAGAAATAGAATTACCTATTTCTGCAGTTTTCCAGCTGCTGGGCAGGTTTTGAGCTCTGGTCTGCCAGACTGCTTACTGCTTAAACTAGTTCCTGTCACCCTGCATTAAACAACCACCACGGCATTCTGCATGCACCCACTAAAATTCCCCCCCCCATCACACCACCACCAAGCACTTCAGGCACACAGCTGCTTGCAGGTGTTTTTGCTCTGCTCTGGTAAGGACTGGTATACCAGATAATCATTAGTCAATGGTTAAATCCATGGCTTCAGCAAACCACAGAGTGCAGAGCAAAGGTAGAAACAACAGAAGCTGCATTGCTTTCACAAACACACTGTGGAACTTACTGCTATAGGATATTAACAAGGCAAAAAAGTCATGTTGTAGGCACTATAGGAACATCTAAGGGATCCAGTCAGGAAGTAGCCCACAGCACGTATAAATTCAAAGACTGCACACTCCTCTGCTATGGTCCAATTTATTATTCTAAGGGAACCAAACAGAAATGCAGAGGTTGTTCACAGTGTCTCCACTCCTATCAGAATTTCAGTGTAGGGTACCAGCAGCCACCAGTGCAAAGTGCTTCTAGATATTGGTATAAGATCAGCAGTCTGCGAAGACAAATGTCCCTTCATCCAACCCAGGAGTACCTCAGCTGAGATAATCTTTAAACAAAATGTACTGGTCCTGATCCGAGCTGGAGATAAAGAAGGAAATCAGAAGCCTGAGAGCAGCAGCTTCAACACAGAACAACATCGTCAGGATGGAGTCTAAGAAGCTTCTCATAAATATATATTAGATCAATATCTTCCGAAGACAGCATCCCTTGATCTCAGCAAGGAAGGCCAGCACACAGGCGACAACACTTACCTGCTGACTCTCCCAGACTGTCTACTTAACTTTAAGGCTACCCCACACCTTAGTTCCCCAGACATTAAATGAGATAGCAAGATCTCACTTTCTCACAGGGTTGTTCTGAAGTGCTCCTCTACAATTGGACACTTCAGAGAGTCATACTTCGTTATCAGTGGACCAAGAGTGATAAGCACTATTTCAAAGTTGAAATACAGAGCTTAAATTGAACCATTCTAAACACTGGTTACTTAAGAGAGAGCACAGCTCCTCCCATTATGACAGCTGCAGTGTAGAGTTCACACTTGAAGATGCAGCTTTGAACTCTGACTCGGGCAAACTGAAATCCTTTCATGTCACTATTATAAGAAGCTTCCAGCTATTTTAATTTTACTGCAGTATATTAAAAACATGGGTGCTTCAACTGCACACTCTTTCAAGAATCAACAGTTCTACTAAGAAGTTGAATAAGGATCAAAAGATCAGTCTAACAATCCCAAAAGCCCGTGCAGCTCTCCAGCAGCTTTGTTCTGAGCACCTATCTCCACATCAGAGTGGAAACTGGAGAGCAACAGAAGAGCCAAGACAGGTAGGAGTTACAGTATATCTGATTTGACACAAGAACAGGCCAAGACTAATCAGGAACAGGAAACCTCTGACAGTTGCAGGTCTGAACACAGCAAGCATTGTGTTTTCTTCTACTCAAAAATATCCCAACAGGATACATTGTTTGCTCTAAGCCTCATGTAAGAAAATCTACAGCCTTTAAAACAACAGGTCACTACCCAATCTGCATGTAGTATTAAAAACATACGCTAAGTAAATAACAAGAGCATTGAGGATTCAGCCCCACACTGACCACATCATGACTACCCTATTTCATGCCCTTACGTCCTCCCAAGCCATTTTCCAAGCAGGTTTGGAAATATCCATGGCTATTTCACTACCCTACAACTGCAAGTGGAGAATTATCATCCTCCAGAACACCTCTGCATGAAATTCACTCCACTTGTGGAAAATAAGACATCAGAAAGGTTGGTCATGCTCGAAGGTATGACAAGATTGAAGAATTCCAACTAGAATTTGGCCCCTCAGCAATTTTTGAAGGAAAGGTTTACAGGGGAAAAAAAAAAAAAAAAAAAAAAAAAAAAAAAAGAGTGCTTAACAGCCCTTGCTTTGAAAGGGATTCAAATTCCTGAGGACTATTTCTTCATTGATGTGAGTGTCCTATTTCCCAAACTCTAAATAAAGTTTTACGTGCACTTAGCATTGCCCCCAGATACAAAAGTAGCAGTACTATTTGTCTGGGTTTGTAAAAGACAACAACAATACCAGGCTTAGGCATACACCCACATTCTCTCTACAGATTCACCATGTGTTCCTGGAAATACACCCACTCCCACCTCACAGGATTTCTGACGGGCAGATTGCTTCCTCAGAGAGGGGTTGAACCTTTATGGAAACATCATCACTATTTTACAGTGGAATGCAGCTTTTCCTTCAGTGTGCGTTTTGTCAGTATTTCTTTCAGTGAAAGTAGAGATAAAAATCAACTTTTTCCTTTTAAAAGTGTCTATGGCAGGAAGAACTACATATGAGATACAAAAGGAAAAAAAATTGTTTTCAGCTTCCCTTTAGTAACTAATTGCTGCATTTCTATATTGTTCATATTCCTCTTGTTTTAACAGCACTGTATCCTCATACATCATCACTTCAGATTTTCCTTTATACAAAACAGTACTTAGTCAGGCAAGAGTGGGGTATCCTTTCAGATAAGCCACCAGTCATCATTAACAGCAATTAAGAGCCGTGAGGAACAGAACAAGGAAAAAATATCTGAAGAAAAACAAAAATTAAACCCATGCTCTCGTTTGTTGAAGTTTCTGACATCTTTTATTTCCCCATTCACATAACAACAAGAAGCACCATTTGTAAAGCGCCCTTTTTGCTGACAGCTGAATCTCTGCAATAACTTTGTGCAGTAACTTAAGTGTACCTCAAAGTACTGCTGTTTTCCTAGATACTGAGATATTCTATTGCACCTTTTTCACTTTTTGCACCAGTTCAATGAGTCTGCCAAGTAATCTCACCCTGGTTAGACTTAAAGGCATGCAAAACAACACAGGCAGAAGTCCAATGTTCAGTAATTTGGAAGAAGTGGCCCTGTCATGAAAAAATGGATTCTTCCAGAGATGCATCAGAAGCCATGCTTTTTTATTGCTCCATTTTAAGCTCTGTGACACATAGTCCTTATACCACCAGTTACCAGACTGGCAGTCCTGGGGACTGAAGTCTCAAAGAATGTGTGCTAGAAGAATATCATCATGGCTCTGCAAACATACGCAAACCCCATCTAGAAAAGTCATACTGCAATCCCTAACTGGACACAAAGGTGCTTCCTTCGAGCTCATTGCAGAAGACTGAAGCCTGACTCACTGTTGACCTGTCTCTGAGCTAAATCTACAGTCTTCCTCCATGCTGCTTTTCCTGCCTTATTTCAAGGCAAGCAGGCTGAGCAACAGAGACCAAGAGATAATAGAAACCACAGAAATTCATTAACGAAAATCAAAAATGAAACTAGCTGATGCTACTTTCAACCCAGGGCACACAGACTTTGTGGTAAACCCAGCCACAAGCCAGGCCCAGACCTAGATATGACTGCACACAAGCCACAGCTCATTAGTGATAAAAGCACAGCAACTTGGCTTACAAGAGCACTCGAGATAAAAGGCTCCTTGTCCTCTAACCACCCTCTGATTGCTCCCTTGGAATATTTCATAAAATCACAGAATCGTTAAAGCAGGAAGAGACCCTTAAGACCACCCGTCCCAGCCAGGCACCCAGCGCCAGCACTGCCCGCTATCCACGTCCCTCAGAGCCACGTCCCCGCCTTTCCTTGAGCGCCTGTGGGAGCTATGCCTCCGCCAGCTTCCCACTGACTGTCCCAGTAACGCCTCACCAACCGGCGGAGATTTTCCTTAAGGAAGAGATTCCTCAACAAAAGTGGGGGAGCGGCGGGCCGGGTCGGCAGGAGCAGCGCCGTGCTCCCAGCCGCAGCGCCGTGCTCTGACTCACGGCTCAGCTCCGCTCCCCCGTAGCTCTGAGGAATGCTTCCAGCGCGCGATCGCCGGACCTGTCAGTTCGCTGCAAGCTGTTTACCTCGGCGCAGCTCTCCGAACGTCCGTAGGTGTGCCGTGAATTACCTGCAATTGCGGAAGCCTTTATTTCGCTCGGTGCCGCAGCTGCTCGGGCACTTCACATAACGCGCTCACTAAGAGAGATTGGGGATGAGAAGAAGAGCTGTTAGGAGTTAAATAGACAGTAGTGACCGAGAAAAGCACTCCCGATAAGGCCGGGGCCCCCTCGCTGCCCCGCAGGCTGCGGACGAGGAAGCGGGGCGCGAAGCAATGAGCCCCACCGCGGGGCAGGGTCCTGCCGCCGCCGCCTCATTCTCCCCCTCACCCGCCCTCCCTTCCTCCCGCCGCTCCCCTCACCTGCCTCAGCGCTGCCGGGACCCCTTCGGGGCCAGCACCCGGGCTCAGCGGTGCGGTGCCACAGGAACAGCCGGCCCCAGGCTCCCGGCCCGCAGCTTTAAGGTCCCTCCCCGTTCACCTGCCGCCTCTTTTAGCCCGCCCCGCGCCCGCCTCCACCCGCGCGGGTTTCCTTCGCGGAGTGCTCGGGGCGGAGCCGGGCCGGGAGCGCCCATCCCGGCGGGGCCCGGCTGTGCGGGGACAGTGGAGCCCGCGATGGGGGTCTCGCCCCTTCCCTGAGCAGCCCCTTCCGTAGCCATCCCGCCTAGGGAGGCATCGAGCGCAGGACTATGAGGAGAGGGGGAGAGGGCAGAGGCAAAGGGCAGGAAGGCAGAGCGAGGCCTGGGGCAATGGGGGAAAATACAGCAAAAAAAGGTGCTGGAGCAAACCCATAGAGAGATGATGGCAAACGTGGGTTTTGTAGGGTAACTGTGCGTGTAACATAATGGAACCGTATGCTGTCTTGTCAAATCCTGGTATTTGGAAGGCTCTGTTCCTCGTGGAAGTTGTGATTGGCAAATGATAGCAGAAAAGCCAATGGTTGCTGGCTTTGTGAGAATGTTCTGAAGGGTCCCTGAAATGCAGCTGCAGCTCCTGGCAGCTTGTGCACTCCTCACACCATAGCTCCGTATCCATGCAGGACCCACTCTGCACACTGTTCTGTTTCCATTACAGCTTTGCTGTCATAACCTTGGGGTTCAGAAATCTGAAACCTTGATTCCTCCACACATACATGTCTAATTAGAGAAACGGTTGCTAATGCTCTACCCAAATTTCTGGGGAAAGCACATGGTACAACTGCAGCAGCGCATCTCAGGGTTGGACATGTGTTCGCACTCACTGAGGACACAGAGTGATGGATCAGGTGACAAAGCCTTTCCAGCTAAATTCTTCTGCCCCTTATCTCCACTTTCCGGAATAAAAACAGTTCCAGTGAAAATCTTTGGCAGAAGTCAATGGCTCATTTCATTGTCTAGCACAAGCAACTCAATCCTTGCATGTGATAGATAAGAAATTGCTGCCAGCTTTGGTTTAAGTATTGCCTTCCATCTCCATGGCACTCATCATCTACCACTCTTCACGGAGCTCCCTGCAGCCTGCGCTTTAGCACCACAGGCATGTTCATGTCAGGGAGATCTCCAAACGTCTCCAGCCCAATCTGCTCCAAGCAGGGCCTGTGTTCCTCTCAGACTGCTCAGCACCCGCACTGCATCCACATCAGTTTCAGACAGAGACAGGTCAGTGCACAGCTGGAGGCCCAAGGTGTGCGATGCTGAGCCAGACTGGCAGTAAATACCTGAGGCCTGAGTCTTCCTGGCTCACTGACTTCCATAGGAGTTGCACTGGGGTGTGTTCAGGGTTCATGCGCACAGCACAGTGCCTTTCAGGAAGGGAGGCGGCTCGGGGCCATGCGGCCATGCTTTGATAAGGGGAGCCCACCGCCCTATGGGAGAAGAGCTTTGGAGGAGACAACAGGGACCTGTGAGTCTCTCCCTTACCAGCTATGTTCCAGCTCAACTCAGTGACTTTGAAAAAGCCATACATATGCCCTTTATGTCATTCCCAGCTCAAAAAGCTTCCCGCTAAACATTGGGTATGTTTAGCTGCAGAGAAGATTTTGAGTTTGTGCTGTTTGCAAATCTGCATTTGCTGCCAAAAAAAGGTTTTTTTATAGAGAGAGAAGTATGATGAGGAACTTGAGGAGTCAAGACTGTGTTTCTTACTGTGCAGTTACCTGCAGGAGAAGAGCCATGAGCAGGGCAGAGCAGTCCTGTCCTGTCTGCCTTCAGGGAGGTGCTGCTCTCCAATGCCAACACCTGGCCTGGATTCCAGAGCAGAAACCCACAGCTCTGGCAGGAAAAGACAAAAAGAAAACTTATTTGATGTTCTGCATTTCCAAAAGGAGATGTTGTTACTGAAGTGGTTCTGTGGTTGGAACCACAATGTCCCTAAGCATGGGTGCTTAGGGAGCCAGGCTCTGCTCCACCAGGCCTTTTTTCATCTTCCCACATGCTTACAGCGCCAGATGCTGCCTCTCCAACCTGGTGGTGCCAACATGCTGTTTGATTGTAAGTACTGATGCTGGGGCTGAGAGATGTGTGCAAGAGCGCTGGAATTTAAGGAATATTGAAAGGGCTTCCTAGTTACAATCTTACGAGAAAAAGTTTAAATATATTTAGTAATTGTTACTAGAATTAATTAGAATTAAATTGTATTTGTCTCTTCACAGATGAGGAATGTTTTAGAAGAAGCATGGCTTGATAAGGCTGAGGCATAAATACATATAAATTCACTGCTTAATTTTTAAGTTAAAAAGGGAAAAGGAAGGAAGGAAAGAAGATAGAAATCATGTATTATTGACATGTAATCAAAGAGGAAAAATAAAGTGACAGGGCTCAGAAATTCCATGCCAAAGGAGAAAAAAATTCACCAGGATATATCTTTTCCAGGCAGATTGCTGTTCCAAAATTGAGATGAGCACTCGAAATGGGAATTTTTTCTACCTGCAGCTTTTTGGTTCCCCTCTGAGCCTTCACATCTCCAATTACACTCTTGCAGCATTCTGATGGTAATAGCCATTCAGATAGAGGGGGAAACAGAATTACCTCCGGTGCTTCAGTGTGAAAGTGTTGTGCAGGCACACCTCAAAGTGAGTGCTCTGTTGTGGCACATTTTATTAGGAAACAACAGGCTGATAAAATATACGATATCTTGAATCCAGTACTTTCTCTACTGTACACAGCTCAAGAATCTGCTCTTTTTTACCATTTATTTTCAGTTTCATTTACTGGCAGACATTCACATAGGGATTATGTTAGCCCTGATTTACATAGACTCTGGAAATCCGGAGTCCTCATCTGTTCAGAAATTAAACCCGAAGAGTCACTTCCTTTCTAATGTAATTACTTTAGTGACACTGTACTATCATAAAGATTGCCTGTATTATATAGTTGTTCATTAAACCACTGCAGCTCCCCAAGGATTTGTACTGTACAAGTGCCTATGTACTTCTCCTGCCAGCACATACCTCACGGGTACTTCTTCGGAGCCATTAGAATTACACTCTTTGTAATGGTGCAAATGACCATCATTCATATCCTTTTGTCCTCTGATTTTTCTCACCAAGGACACCTTCCCTCTTTTATTTTCACTTAACCAATATTCATGAAGTATCCCAAGACACACATTGGACCATGTACTTTCTTGTAAGGTAACTCAGTGAGCTCAGTGATGTTCTCTGCTTGTGCAGATAGGAGGCACAGAAAAGGCAGAACAACACTCCAAACCTGAATGATACGGGAGACCAGTGAAAGGGGATGAAAACATTTCTTAGTGCTGCCAGTAGGTGAACAGCCTGACTGAGGACAACCTGCATTTTTACCTCAAAATGGATAAGCATGGCTGTTCTTGTACAAAAGCCATGCTCATCGTTGGAAAGTGGACTGCCATGCACCCTGGGTAGGGCAGCCTAAATCACCTGTAGACACCCATCTCTTAGCTGATTCCTTAAGCTGACAGCTCCGGATATCAGCATCACCCAGATTTGAAAGGCAGGCTTTCTCCATCCTTAGCAGCCCAGTAATTTTCTCAAAGCTATTGCTAATGTGGAAGCTGACAGCTTCTATCTCCCTACCTGTTTGGTTTATTACAAGTGTTTCATCAGACCAGCTTTACACTGCTGTGTCCTTCACTCACTCTGGGCAAAGGGGACAAGGAGGGCTGTTGGCCACGATGCTCAGTCACTGCTGTGATGTTTCTCCTGGAGCAGGCACTGCAATCAGTTCCTCTGCTCCCATGGCTGCTAGCCCTGGCTCCGGATGTATGATGGAGCTTCCAGCTGATTTAATCAGTTCGTTGTTCTCTGGTTTGATGTAATAAGTTCATTGTTCCCCAGTTCAACTTAATTGAGTCATTGTTACCCGATTTAACTGACTGATTGCTGCCTGACTTGATTTAATTAATTACCACCTCACTTGCTGAATAAGCAAACTCCTGCCGCTGGCTGCCAGTACAGATCACTGCTCATAGCCCATATATGATCTGCCCCTTCCCCTTCCCCTGCACCAACCCAATCTTCTCCCAGGACCTGATCTCTAGCCACGGCCTCTGTTCCCTTCCTGCTTCTCCATTTTCTCCCTGTAGCTTTTCCTCAGCCCAACGAGGTCATCCTCTAATCCTTTCCTTCCTTCTCTGTTTTTTCCTGGCTTTTGCTCTGAACCTGCCTCCAGCCTTCCTCCTCTTGCCACTGTCCCACAGAAACCTTCTCTGTTGCACTGAATCATAGAATCATTAAGGTTGGACAAGTGCTTTAAGATCATCTAGTCCAACTGTCCACTGCCACCAATATTGCCCACTAAACCACGTCTCTAAGTATTACACCTACCCTTTCTTTAAATGCCTCCAGGGACAGTGACTCCACCACCTCCCTGTGCAGCCTGTGCCAATGCCTCACCAGTCTTTCTACTCATTCCCGTAAATCTGTAAATCTGTTCCAGATCTTCCCCAAAGACTTTGCATTTGCTTGCTTGATTCTTCATAGGAATGAGGATAGGATACTTCATAAGCCTTCCAGTACTTGAAGGGAGCATATAAACAGGAAGGGGAACAGCTGTTTACGAGGGTGGGCGGACAGTGATAGGACAAGGAGGAATGGTCTTAAGCTGAGACAGGAGAGGTTTAGGTTAGATATTAGGAGGAAGTTTTTCATTCAGAGGGTGGTGACGCACTGGAACAGGTTGCCCAAGGAGGTTGTGGATGCCTGGAGACATTCAAGGCCAGGCTGGATGTGGCTCTGCGCAGCCTGGTCTGGTGGTTGGCAACCTGGCACATAGGAGGGGGGATGAAACTAGATGATCATTGTGGTCCTTTTCAACCCAGGCTGTTTTATGATTCTATGATTCTATGGATGTCCTTTCTATAATAGATTTCTATTTTTTTTAAATCCTTTTCTGCCTAGCAGTCTTACTCAGGCAGCAGCACTTATCCAGGGCTCTCCTTTCCCTTCACTTCCACCAGCTGCCAGTACCCAACTTTCCCTTCCTTTAAGGTATCTCACAGAAGCCTCTCCTC